AATCAGTGTGGAGGTTTCTAACAAGGAAAGGAAAACAAACTGACTAAAAGTAGAACTTCCATATATACACCATGCCACTCCCAGGAAAGTACTGGAAGGATTTAAATCAGTATATAAAAAAGACACTTGCGTATATCTATTCATTGCAGCTCTGTTCACAATAGCCAAACTCCAGAATCACCTGAGGTGCTCAATAACTGTTGATTGAATAAAGGAAATAGGTATATATATCATAGAATATTAGCCATAAGGAAAATAGATGGAATTGGAGGAGCATTATGCTGAGTGAGATATCCCAAGCTCAAAAGCCAGATGTCACATTTTTCACTCATTTGTAGAATCTAAACCTAAGACATACATATTCGCAAACGTATATAGATATAGATAAAATATACAGACACATTCATACAGGTACACAGACACATGGTTGTAATTATAATTACACAATTGTTTAGGGAGACAAGGTGGATAGGAAAGCGAAGGAGGAAGAGAAGAATAGTATCCAAGTACAGTGTGTGGCTATATGAAGATTCTACAGGGAATCCTCCTGAAAGTTGTTAGGCCATAGTGGTTGGGGAGGGAAGGAAGGGAAAGAGGGAGAATAGGGGGCTATTCTTTTTACATATGTGTATGTGTTGAAATATCATGAAGAATCCCTTGACATTATTAATATAAACTAAAATAAAAGACTGTTGGGCGTAGGTATCAGTGGGATGGGGGAGTGCAAATGGAGAGAGCAAATGAGGGTGAATCTGATAGCAGATATGCATGTATGAAACTAGACCAGTGAAACTAGTTGAGTGTGTTCTGAGATGCAGGACAGGAATGAGGGAGAGCAATGGGGGGAGACTGATCAGGCTCATTGTATGCTCTACAGACGTGCCACAGTGGGGAAACCTCCCTCCCCCTATCTGTGACTAAAGTGAGCTAATTTATTTAAGTTGGTAAGGAGCTATTTGACCTTTTTGGTTATCTCAAGATACAATAAATTGTATTTCCAAAATGGGAAGCTATTTTTAAAAATTGTTCTTTAATAGATAATATGTGTATAAGGCACAAAATTCAAGTATAAAATGAAACCTAGGGAAAATAAGGTTTCTTCCCTGGAGGCAGTCATTATTTCTAAAGAATCCCTCCAGAATATGCTATACAAACATGTGATCGCGTACATACCCTCCCCACACATTGTATTATAGACACAGATCTACAACTTCTCACTTAACAATATATTTTGGAGGTATTTCCAAGTTAATACAAAGAGAACTAGTCCATTCTTTTTAACAACCAAATAGTCCTCATTAGTCCACTGCAGATGGGTGGGTGGCTTGTTTTCCAATGCTTTGCTAGATATATTTTATTGTCAGTTGTGGGGCCTGAACTCTGGGCCTGGGCGCTGTCCCTCAGCTCAAGGCTCTCGCTCTACTCCGTGACTGTGCCTTGCTCTCTGCCCAACCCCCACACCCCCCATCCAGTGGCCACTGAGACAGGAGCGTGACTCCATGCCTGAGCCAGGCCCTTATTCTCTCTTATCATGGCTGATAGAGTAATCATGATCTTCTCTTTCTCACATTTATTTTCCTTGTGAGTGGCAGTATCTTCCTGATAGTCCAGTTTGAGCCTGCCTCTCCCTAGCAAAGGTTCTGTGCTACCCTGCACGTGCCAGTTCATGATCTGACCCTTTCTCCTGTTTTGCCTTCTTCTGTACGGTATTTGTCTTCATAGCCATCGTCTCCCTAGCTCATTTCCCTTGCTTTGTATTGTGTTCTTGCACATTTCCATATCTTTGTCATACTGTTCCCTCTGCATGGATACCCTTCCTTTTCCTTTCATATGACAAAATCTATCAGGTCAGTGATTCAGCTTTTCATTACTGTAACAAATACATGAGAAGAGTAGGCTTCAGGGACAGGTATAGTGGTTCACGCCTATAATCCCAGCAACTGGAGAGGTGGCATTTGAGAAGGTTGTGGTTAGAGTTCAATCCAGGCAGAAAGTAAGATTTTCCTCACTTGATGGAGGCAAAGCTACATTATTTGTCTTTCAGCAACGTGTCTGACCACCTCCCCTACCCCCTGCCACCAAGGAGGAGAGATGCCCACTAATGCCAGGTCTGGGGAGCTATCTTGCCTCCTTTAGTCTTTCAAACTAGAGAGCTTCTCTGGAATCTGTCATTGTCCCATGCCTCATTTTCTTGCCAGGGGAAGGATCTTAATTCTGCAGTGCCCATTCACCAGGGCCCATTTTCCTTGGATGGGAAAGGCAACTCAGTACCAGTGTTTCAGCCAGACATGAATGGGCCAGAGTTCAAGCCCCATGACCCACCAAAAAAAAAAAAAAATGAATGGGGATCCTGGGGTGATGAAGCCCAGGATCCTTGTGTTTCTTTCAGTGGTGCAGTGTGAAGATTGCTCATCAGTCATTCAGCGCCTACCCAAGTCCCCTCTGGCTTCTGACAGGGTTCCTGCCAGCCAGAAAATGGAGAAAGACAGTAACAGTTTCTTCCTTCTTATTATTGGGCCCTTTTGTGTCCAAAATGATTTGGATATGAAGTGCCTCCAAGTATAACATCCAAAAACAACTATTTTTTTCATTCAAGCCCAGGCTTTGGCTATGTGATTTACTAGTAACATCTATCAGGTACCCCCAGTACTATGTAATTGGGTTTCAGCCCTAGCTGTGTGGTGTGGGCCAGTCTGGAGAGTTCCAAAGTTTTGGGAAAGATTTCTAATCACTGGATGGAACTATGTGATAAGCCAGCCATCCTAAGTCAGGGGTAGGCTGCCCCTTAGCTCCTCAAGTTCTCCTAAAAGCTGGGATAACAGGTGTGTACCACCATGTCCAGCCAGGTCCTACCTGGATAGAACATCTTAAAGTTGCCACACATCCGCACAGAGCCCATTGGAGAACACACACAAAGCATATGATATACAAGCCATTGCACCATCCTCTCCCTTGAGATCTGAATGTTTCTCACTCTTTTGGACCTAAAGTACTTACTAAATATCTGCTTTAAAAAAAAAAAAGAAGCACCTGTTTTTCTTGTTTCAGATGAAGTCAGATATCCCTAAAGTGGTACAGCCGTCAACCATATTCTCTTTAGGAAGTCTAAATGTAAACCTGGAACCAGTGGTTCACACCTTTCATCCTAGCTACTGAGGAGGCTGAGATCTGAAGATCATGTTTTGAAGACAGCCCAGGCAGGAAAGTCCTTGAGACTCTTATCTCCTATTAACTACCAGAAAAGCCAGGAGTGGAGCTGTGGCTCAAATAGTAGAGTGCTAGCCTTGAGCAAAACAGCTCAGGGATAGTGCCCAGGTCCTGAGTTCAAACCCCAGGACCAGCAACAATAACAACAAAAAAACCCAATTCTCCATATATTTGTATTTTGAAAATAGTTATTTGTCTTGCAAAGCCCATCAGTTTCTCTCTTACACATTTAAGAAGTTATTTCAGGTAAAATGAGTCTAATTTTGCCTGTGATGAGTCTCCTCACATTTAGCAGAGGCTTAGGGAAGATAAGTGACTTACAGTCCTAGCAAGAACCCAAGTGTCCTGTCACCTGGTCTAGTATTGTCCTGATATGCTCAACAAGTGACACACCGGCATCAGGGGATGGGTTTCCATCTCTCTTGCACAGTGTAAGTAGAACAGCCAGGTAGTTCACACCTGTAATCCCAACTACTCGGGGTGGCTGAGATCTGAGGATCACAGTTTGCAGCCAGTCCAGACAGAAAAGGCTGTGAGATTCTTATTTCCAATTAACGATCTCAAACCCAGAACTAGAACTGTGGCTCAAAGTGGTGGAATGCTTACCTTGTACACAAAAGCTGAGGGACAGTGCCCAAGCCCTGAGTTCAAGCCCTACAACTGACAATAAAAAAGGAGGCACAAGTCACAGCTATTCTCGTTACCATATCCAAGTGCATTCCTGGATCCCATCAGTGTTTCTGAACTATCAGAAAACTTCCCTGAAGTCTTAATAGTTCAAAGTTGTCAGCCTGAAATGCTTGATAGATCACCTCACTCTGGCCAAAAACACAGTACAGAGTCTTCTCATTTTGGCCTTCTATAGTAGTATCCTCCCCTCCAGCCCTGCAGCTAAGGGACACCCACGGTTTCCGGTTGCCTGTGTCAGTTCTTTGTGTTTTAAGGGCTGGATGTTTAAAAGTTGAAGTCACTGACTTGCAAAATGAGAGGCTATTTTGGAGATCCTGTTGTTTCCGGGATTTTGCCATTTAGAGCATTGTTAACACTGAAAAGCTGCAATTTTAAGAAAGCAAACAATAGCGTCATTTATCAGGATAGGAAGCCCGACTTCACCATCCCCACAAAGCCTTCTACATGTGTCCACACATGATCTCTTAGAGATGGAAAGGAAGGAATCAGTGATCATATATTTTTATTTTGTCTTACTTAGTTATTAGTGCTGTTCTGGGGCTTTAACTTAGGACCTGGTTCCTATAACCATTTAAGCCTCAGCTCCACTTCTGTCTTTTTAGTGGTTTGTAAGATTCTCACAGACTTCCTTGCCAAGGCTGGCTTTGAACTTTCATCCTCAAATCCCAGCCTCCTGAGTAGCTAGAAGAACAGACGTGAGCCACAAGCATCTCGCAGTTCTCCCATTTTTATATATGGAGATTGGCCCAGAAAGATCAAGGCCTGCGTGCTTCCTATTCACACAGGGTTAAATATCAACTTGTATGAAGTCTAGGTGCACTTTGGGAATTTGTTTTACTGCTTCTGCAAAATAGCCGTGTCATCTGAAATTACATCAAAATAAGTAAAATATTTGACATCAAAATAAGTAAAATATTTGGCAGGAAATAGCAACCATGGGGATATGGTAGCTGTGCCATCTTCTTTGCAATAGTTACTGAAGATAGAGCAGACTCTGCTTTCACCTTTGTAGGAAACCCAGCTGAGCAGCTGCTAATGTTGGGGGGGGTCCCTCTTCCGTGTCTCCCCAGGCGCAGTGAACCTGCAGGCCGCCCTCACTCTTGGCATACAACCAAATTTGGGGAGAACCAACCTGATGCCAGCATGATGCAGATATCTCAGGGCACAATGGGCCCTCCTTGGCACCAAAGCTATCACTCCAGGTAAGTGACTACACTTGAGACTGACAGGTTGGCCTCAAAGGTCATATTCCAGCCAAGAACACTTTCTGTAGCTTGAGAACATGGTACCCTGAGTATCATACCTCTCTCTCTGCTACTTTCTTCATCCTCTTAAACTCCATCTTCAGTTAGCAAAACAGCCTGTCTGGAGACATGGCCGAGGTGCTAGAGTGCCAGTCAAACTTCAGGCAAGCTGAGAGAGAGCAAGAACCTAAATTCAAAATATTGTATCTGTATCTTAATCTGATAGTTGCTGCTCATTTGAACTCTCTACTTGGTTTTTCTTCCTTTCTAAAGCAGTTTACCCAGCATAGCTCAACAACAGAACTAAGATAGGAGAGGACCTCTTTTTTTTTTTTTGGGTCGGCTGTGGAGCTTGAACTCTAGGCCTAGACGCTGTACCTGACCTCTTCAGCTCAAGGCAAGCACTCTACCACTTGAGCCACAGCACCACTTCTGGTTTTCTGGTAGTTAATTGGAGATAAGAGTCTCACAGACTTTCCTGCCCAGGCTGGCTTTGAACCATGATCTTCAGATCTCAGCCTTCTGAGTAGATAGGAGTAGCTGGTAGCTCGCATCACTAATACCTGGCTTAATTTCACTTGGTAGAAAAGGAAGCTAAGATCAAAAAGGTTAAGTGACTTGCTAACGCTCACGCAATAGTAGGTGAATGAGTTTTAAACTGAGGTCTGACTTGAAAACCCAAGTTCACTAGCTCGGTGCTATTCCTCCCTCTTACCTCTCACCTCCTCAAGACTCTACCTCCAGGTATATAAATCCAGGGCAGTGTGCCATCCTGGGAGGGGCACTAGAATCATTTCTTCCTGTGGCTGGAAGCTTACTTTGATATGCTGGGTCTATCCTGTGTCCACCAGTTAGAGGTATCGGGCCCTTGAGCAGACACGAGCATTACAAGCTCTGGTTGAGTTCTGGCCTTGCCAAATGGCAAAAGATCACACACACACACACCACACCCCCACCCCAATACTCGTATCTCATTTGTATGTAGTAACTTTCCTTTTGACTTTTCCACTCCCTACCATTACCGTTTCCTGAAAGTGATGCCCTGTGGAATCTAACTCTTGGGATCAGATGGTTTTCTGCAGTCCTTACTTAATTTTCTCTTTACTATGATTCAATGGCTAAGTTCTCACCCTTTCACTTAAATCCTTTCAGCTGTCTAGGGTGTTTCTTGACTAGCCCCCAACCTGCATGACAAAACTAGAAAGCAGAAGGAGTGTAACTCAGCCTCCTGAGTACCTAGGATTACAGGCGTGAGCCACCAGCACCTGGCAGGAGAGAACCTCTTAGTATATACATAATTACATGTAATCCTGTGTGTGTGCACTTGCATGCATTTATGCCTTGAACGCAGGGCTTTTTGAAGTTGCTTGGCTTTCGTGCTCCTACTCTACCATTTGATCTATGCCTTCACTCTAGCTTTTCTGCTAGAGTGGACATGGAGTCTATTTCTATCCTGGCTAGCTTTGAACCCTAATCTTCAAATCTTATCTCCAATAAATCACACACACACACACACACACCCAGAAATGGAGCTGTGGCCCAAGTGGTAGAGCACTAGACTTGAGTGAAAAACCTAAGGGACAGTAGCCAGGCCCTGAGTTTAAGTTCCAGTACCGCACAACAACAAAAACAAATTATTATATATACCTGGCCTGTGAGACACCACATTTACTCAGGCCTTGAGTTTTTAAAAAAGGGTCTTTTTTGTTGGATCATTGTGAGGATCAAAGAACAGTAAATGAAAATTGTATCAAGCTGAGGACTTAAACTAGAACACACTTACGTGAGTGTGTACTAACAGTCCCACTAAACAGAGGCCCTTTGGAGCTTCTTAACCCTTGACCTTCTTAGGAAGCCTCCAATCTGAACTCTTCCTGGTACTTCCCCGACCCCAGAATAAAAAAGGTGCTGATCCTACAACAGAAGTAAGACCACTGCCATCAATTCTCATGGTCCCTGCTTACAGTTATTATAGGGAGCTCTGGCAGGCCTGAGGGAGCAGTGGAGTTGGCACCGGAAGTATGGTATTCCATAGATGCACACCAGTCCCCCAAGGCAGATTGATGTGCCCTGGTCCCATGTCCACCACCTGTCCCCTCTGATGCCAGGCTGTTGACACTGAAGTACCTGGTCATCACAGAGGGGGGAAGAACAACCCAGGTTACCCCTACCACCACAGACATGTTGGGCCCCACCCTGGGGCTGTTCCTTCCATGCTTTGAGCTTGCAGCTCTGGCACAGGCTTCACCTACCTTGGCTGTGCTCACATGGTCTGGGAGTGGTAGTTGGAGGTGGCAAAGTGCTCCAGATGTAATCTGAGGAGTACAGTGGCATCTAGTGGTCTAGTGGCCAACACAATTGGCTGCTTTCCCTCCTGGCAACCGTATTTAGTTCCCTAAACCCAGTCTCAGGCCTAAGTTCAAGGATGTGTTTCTCATTTGAAAAAAAAAAGAATAAGGATGGGAGGGTAGAGTGAGGCAAGAGGGAGAGAGACGTACAGAGGTACTGAGGATGACTTATTTCTCTGACTACACGCTGGGCTAGACTTGGAGATTACTGATGTTATATATGTGTGTGCGCACGTGTGTGCGTGCACGCACGCGCGCACACACACGTATTGGAGCCTTGCATCCTCCCTTGACTTTTTTGCTTATGGCTTCTGACTTTTTGCTGGTTAACTGGAGATAAGAGTCTCACAGACTTTTCTGCTCTGGCTGACTTCAAACTGAGATCTTCAGATCATAGCCTCCTACATAGCTAGACTTACAGGCATAAGCCACTAGCACCCTGCAGTTTTACTGAAATTTTCTCAACTGCTGAAGCCAGACCGTTGCCACTGTCTTTTTGTTGCCTATAGTACTATATTAGAATGCTGAAGGATACCATAATGTCATGTATGTGGGTCAGCCTCTGATTAGAGACAGAATTACATTTTCAAAATGGCTACCTGCCAGGTGCCAGTGGCTCACACCTGTAATCCTGGCTACTCAGCTGAAGTCTGAGAACTGCAGTTTGAAGCCAGCCCAGAAGGAAAGTCTGTGAGATTCTTTATCTCCAAAAAACTACTTAGAAAAAGTTGGAAGTGGTGCTGTGGCTCAAGTGGTAAAACGCTAGCCTTGAGCCAAAGAAGCTTAGGGACAGCACCTAGGCCCAGAGTTCAAGCCCCAGGACTGGAAAAAAAAAAATACTAACCTACCAGGATGTAGCAAGTGATTCACTCATCAGCAGAAATGAGTCTCCACTCTCAAATGGTTTCTTGGTCTGGGGGTACAATACTTGTGTCTCAAAGTGTGACTCATAGAGTGATTATTCCTTAAATGCTCAGATGCTCCTTGGAAAATGTTGCTAGGACCAAATAAGTTTAGGAAATATTGCTTAGTATATTTATTTGCCTCTTAGACCAACATGCAAACAAGACTCCTAAGTCTTACAGTAAATAATAGTGTTTAGCTTATTTAGCCCAGTGTTTTCCAAGCATATTTAATCATCTAAGGAATTAGTTTTCATTAAGTACATTTAAGGAAATGCTTCCATATACTATTCTGTGTCTTAAGAATTAAAAAAATACTTTAAGACACAGACTAATATACGAGTGCACTTATCTGCTACCAAATTTAACAACACATTGTTGTATATGCTACACATCTTTTAGGGATAGAACTGAAGGCTTCCATATAACCAGAATTACAACCATTATTTCATAATGTCAAGTAGTGATCGGGAATACAGAGAAAACAGAGGGAATGTAAGCAGAGATGGTATTTAGTGCCAAGAAAACTCTGGTGGAAAGCAGCCAGTACAAAGGCTCTGGGGCAGGAATGTATCTCATGCATTTAGTTACCGTTGGGAAGCCATTATGCTAGAATGCAGTGAGCAAGAAGGAAGCTATACAACAAAATCGTGAGACAAAGGACAAAGGGTGATCCAGTACAACAATGATACTTGCAAGACACTATGCTGGAAATGAACTTTACATGGAGGGAGTGGGGTGGGGACAGAAAATGGGAGAAAAATGAGGGAAGGGTAACAATATTCAACAAGAAATGTACTCATTACCTTACATATGTAACTGTAAACTCTCTATAATCTTTATAATAAAAGGAAGCAGTAGACAATATGGTTGCTAAAGAAGCAGATCCTAGTAAGGACTGTGACCCACTTAAGACATCCTTGCTGTTCTCGTAGTAGTAAGGCTATCTAGGTTGGGATGGTGACAAGATTGAAAACATCATCCCAAATTATTCTACTCCATCCCCACTCATTAATGCCACCTCTGAAGCAGGAATGGTAACATTAATAGAAAACAGCATTTTTAGATAGTAGTGGGAAAATGTGTTCCATATTTCCCAGGCACAATCTGCCTGTGATTTATATTTCTAGGCAGTCTGTGGTTTGAAATACATTAGTGATAGCATTTTAGCCATTCTGGTTAGTGTGTGTGTGTGTGTGTGTGTGTGTGTGTGTATGTATGTGTGTGTGTGTGTGTGTTCCTAGGCTAGGTTTATTCTTTTAGTAAAAGACTGAGGAAATTTGGGGGCGAGGGGAGGATTGGGGCGAGGGGAGGATTCAGTTCATGGAATTGGTGAGTGAGACAGCCCTCAGGGCCAAGTGCTTCCTTTCCCCCTGAACATACTTGGTCTGAATCTTCTGTTGAAAATAAAAGGAGGCATAATGGTTATTGTATGGAGGGGTTATAGTTTCATGAGTATATCTCCTGTCCAGTATTGTTACCTCCTCCTTTGTTTTTCCCCTACCATCCCTTTTCTCCCCACTTCCCCAGCTCCTACCCCCCACCCCACAAGTTGTAAAGTTCATTTTCAACCTAGTGTCTTGTACATCTCATTGTTACAATGGGTCAACCTGTATCCTTATTTCAGCATTTTGTTATTTCCCTTCTCCTTCCCAAATCAGAAAAATGTATATACAAGATACAGGGCATTGGAATCAAATACAGTGAAAACAGGGGTTATGCCATGGGGGAAGAACATACAAAAGAAACAACAAAAAAAATCACATAGTACATTATCTATACATTAAAAACAACAGCAAGAAAGATAAAACCTCTTGCAAGGTACTTTTTAAAGAAAAGAGCTACAAGTTTTGGAAGCTGAAAAGTCTAATACTGAGCAATCCCATTAGTTTGTCTTTGGTGAAGACCTAACAGTGGATGGTAACAACATGGGGAAGGCATGAGGGAGATGGAGGTCACACATCTTGAAAACAGGAAGCCAGAGAGCAATTCAGGGATTAGGCTCACTCTTAGAACAACTCTCTGGAGAGCTTTCCACAGAGATAGCTTACTCTCTTCCATAGGTAACATTCAGTGACTTTCCCCTAGGCCCCACATAGAGATCAAACTTTGCACACATGAACCTGTAGACAACAAACCACAGCCCAAAAACCATGGCAGAAGGTGATTTGTTGGATGCATTCAGAACTCTAGAGTAACTGAAGTTGTGTGAAGAACTGCCAGACTGTCTTCCAAAATGGCAGCACACCTTCTGTTCCCATCTCCTGTTGGTCTACATCCTGATCAGAATTTGATGTCATATTGTAGTCCCTGATTTTAGCTTTTCTAGTTACTATATGATGGTATCTTATTGGCAATTTCCTAATGACAAATGGTATACAGCATCTTTTCGTAATGTTTATTTACCAATTGTGTCTCCTTCAGTGGAGTATTTGCTGTTGTTGTTTTTTTTTATAAAATCAGGTGCATGTTTACCTGTTGAGTTTTGAGAGTCCCCTGTTGAAGTATATTTTGAGTTTATAATTAAAGCTCTTTATAAGCAATTTTGTTTTGAGGGAATTTTCTGGGGTATACAATACCTAGATGAAGATTCCTTTCCTCATTCCCCAGCCAGGCTCAGAAAACCCACCTGGACAAACTTGTTAATGCAAATCTGATCCTCTTTAATGGACATGGAGGCTTGGGAAGTTACTCATAAGTGATAAAGACTTCTTTTAAAGCCTTCCTCTCCTTCCCTCTCTCATCATTTTCTAACTCTCATCTCTGTATTTCTCTCATTCAGCTTTGTGTTTAGCTTTCTCATTGCAAACCAATTGTCTCTTGTACAGTTTTGATTCCAGGAATATTGCCAGGATGTAAGTTTCAGTTCCTTAAAAAGGAAAGATATTAACTAAAATCATACACATGTGCTCATAAGTCTCCCTCAGCCCTCACGTGCCTGTTCTCTTACTCAGCTCGCCTCTTTTTTTTTTCCCTCCCATCCCCAATACACACAAAATTTCAGCCTCTGTCACTTTCCCTTCCTCCTTTCTTTCCTCTCCCATCTCCCGGCACGTGGAGAATGTTGATTCCAGCACAACAGAGCTCATCAAAGTGCTGCCTGTGTCCCAGGCCACATTACTTTCTCTGTGCATCCCTTCTCCTAGCTTGTCTGGATGATTCATTAGCGGCACATAGGCTACAGCATTGGGCAGTTAATCCTAGTGATGACACAGTGAAGCTGAACAAGGCCCAAATATGGCCCTTTTTACTGACCCTTTCAAAATCCAAACATTACATAACAGTACATTTATAAGCTGGGTCCTGTGCCTGGAGACCTACTAAATAGCTCCTCAGTGGTACTGACTGCTTTTCCTTTCTTCCAGCTCATCTACAAGTGACCTCTCCAGCTTCGACCATGCTTATCTGAGGCGGAGCCCTGACCAGTGCAGCTCCCAGGGGAGCCTGGAAAGCCTGGAGCCCAGTGGGGGATACTCAGCCTGCCATCTTCTTTCCCCTGCCAAGTCTACGAGCAGCATTGACCAGCTCAGCCACCTCCATAACAAGAGAGACTCGGCATACAGCTCCTTCTCCACCAGTTCTAGCATCCTAGAGTACCCACCCCCTGGTGTCACTAGCCGAGAGCGGTCAGGCTCTGTGGACACTACTTCTGCCCGCGGGGGCCTCCTAGAAGGGATGAGACAGGCAGATATCCGCTATGTCAAGACAGTCTATGATACCCGGAGGGGAATCTCAGAAGAGTATGAGGTGAAGTCTTCAGACCTGCTGCTTCAAGGTCGGGAGTCACACCCATCAGCAGATGATCAGGGCTATGATAAATGGCATAGCATTTCTCGGAGCAAGGGAGCACTATCCTCATCTTGGAGTCAGCCGTGCTCCAGTTCCTTAGAGACTGGCCCTGACAACCTGCCTCATAAAGTGGGTGCACCACAGCCCCCAACTCGGAGTGACAGTTATGCAGCCTTTCGGCACCGAGAACGACCTAGCTCTTGGTCTAGCCTTGATCAGAAGCGCTTCTGCCGGTCTCAGGCAAATTCTTCGGGCTCCTTGAAATCTCCATTCATAGATGATCAGCTGCATCCTGTCCCAGAGAAGAGTCCAGAAAACAGCCCCCCAGTGAAGCCCAAGCATAATTATATTCAGAAGGCCCAGCCTGGCCAACCACTGCTGCCAACTGGCATCTACCCTGTACCATCCCCGGAGCCACACTTTGCCCAGGTGCCCCAGCCTTCTGTGAGTAGCAATGGTACACTCTACCCTGCACTGGCCAAGGAGAGTGGATATCCAGCCACCCCTCAGGGAGCTTGCAACAAGATGGCTGCCTTTGATGAGAATGGAAACCAAAATGGAGCTAGCAGACCTGGATTTGCCTTCTTCCAGCCTTCAGAACATGACTCACTGGAGAGGAAACCAGAAACCACAGTCAAATTTGTCCCCTACAAAGTCCATTTTCCTTCAGTGCCTGAAAATGAGGAGGATTCCTCCCTAACGAGACATCCCACAGCTCCCGAAGGCAACAGTGTTCATTACAATGAGAGAAAGAACTCTCATGGCAACAAACCCTGTTCTAATCACCACAGCCTCAAATCTCCTCAGGCCCAGGCCTGGCAAGTGGGTGGAGACAAGAGGTCTTCTAGACTCCTGGAACCCTGGGAGAGTGATTTCCAGGAAGACCATAATGCCAACCTGAGGCAGAAGCTGGACAGAGAAGGCCTAAGCCACGGCCAGTCAGGCAACTTTGGCAGGACCAAGTCGACCTTCTCATCTCTCCAGAACATTCCAGAGAGTCTGAGAAAGCAAAGCAGCCTCGAGCTGGCCGAGGGAGTGCAGGAGAGTTACCCTGTTGGCAGGTCTACCTGTGCGGTCAACACCAAGGTGGAGGACTCTGCAAGGAACGTGCTCCCTGACCACAGAGGCCACCTGGACAGGCCCGTTTCCTATGCGAGGCCTGAAGGGAGATCCAGTACTTCACCCTCTATCCACTGTGCCGATCCAAGCTATGAAGAGCCCCCCACCCCTCCATACCAGCAGACATCCAGCCTGGGCAGGAAGGGACTCAGCTCCGGCAGCACCTCGGCCCTGCAGGGTTTCCAGTACAGGAAGCCCCACTGCTCTGTGCTGGAGAAGGTGTCCAAGTTCGAGCAGCGAGAACATGGGAGCCCCCGGCCCCCCAGTGCAGGCCACACCTACAGGAGGGCCCCGACGTCCAGCACTTCCGGGAGTGACGTTGAAGAGACAAAAGCCAGCCTCCGGAGCCCTGAGAACAGGGAGCCCTTGGGCAGTGGGGGGCAGCACTTCAGAAGCGGGGAGCCCAAGCTGGAAGAGGCCTCTTGGCAGCCTTGCGGTCAGCAGCTGAGGAGGACTGAAGAGGGGGGCCGTGGCCCCCCAGTCCGAGTCAGCGAGCCCCCAAGGCCCGACGCCCGCTTGCTCCGCAGCCAGAGCACCTTCCAGCTCTTCAGCAAGGCCGACGGAGACGCCCCGGGGCCGGAAGACAGGCCCGGCGGCGCCCCCGAGTCGCCCCCGCTCGACGCGCCCTTCAGCCGCACCTACAGGAACAGCATCAAGGATGCGCAGTCCCGGGTCCTGGGGGCCACCTCCTTCCGCCGCCGGGACCTGGAGCTGGGGGGCCCCGGCGCCTCCAGGCCCTGGCGGCCACGGC